TGGAGCCCAAGCCGCCCGCCCCGCCGCTTCCTCCCTCAGCCGCGCCGGGCTAGGTGGGGGCTCCTGGGCCTCTGCAGAGCGCGCGCTCTGTCCGATTTGGGACCGGAGTGAAACTCTTCACAACTCCATTTTGCCTTTTACATTTCATGTGGAACGTGAATCGCTGTTTTGTACAGGTTGAAGAGAGTTATGCTTTGGGTAGATTTCCTTTTTTTTAACGGCAGTGTTCTTGGAGATTGTGTAAGTAAAAGATTGTGTTGCAATCTTAGGGGTTAGAACTATTGATGGAAAATGTATCCTTCCAGTTGATAAAACATTTTTTATGACTTTAATGATGCTTAATCAAAATAGTTGCATTTCTACTTAGTCTGTAATTAGGAATCGCTTAAGCATGTATCCTTCGTTACTGATTATCTTCATGAGAGTTACAAGTCGTCTTCATGAAATTGCACTATTTACTTAAGTTTGTTTTTAAAGAAATGCTTAGTACTTTATAGCGGAAAATTGGCATTGCTTTTGCCTCCGTTGGTTCCAGTTGTGCTTTTTTAATAGCCCTGATTTAAAAAATTTTAACTTATGTTTGGGATTTTTAAAAATCTTTTGGTCCTTTGAAATAAACATTTTTTGCAGGTATGTAATCAGATTATATTAATTTTTGCCGGATCTGAAGGGGAAAAATACAAAAACGAAACCTCTTCATATTTTAAGATACTGTTTGTGGTGAGAATGTTCGATCATTTAGTGTCACACTGTTGAATGTGCAATATGAACCGAGTAGGTGATTGTCACCTTCAACATGGCTAGATTGGAGGAGGTACTGTTTTGAGCACTTGACAAAAGTAACATCTGAACTGAAAATACAAGACTATTGTTTTTTTTCAAGATAGGTCTTGCTATTTTGCCTGGGCTGGCCTAGAGCTCACCATCCTCCTGCTTCAGCCTCTTGAGAAGTTGGAATTATAGGCCTGTACCACCAGGCCTGACCCGACTAGTACTTAATTGTAAAGAATGATTTATTGAGTTTTGTTTTTGTCTTTGTTGTTTGTTTGGTTTTTTGGTACCGGTGATGGAACTCCTGTCCTTGTGCTTGCGAGGCAGTCAGGTGGAACCACTGAGCTAAATCTCGCACTATGGAGTCTTTTTTGATGTTATACTGATGTTCTATCTATCTGTGTAAGGTAGTGAAGGCTGTTAGTGACAGTAAATGGTACAAAAGATGGAACCCCATGTGTGCTAAGCATGACTCCACCACTGGGCTATACCTCTAGCCCGGGAACTTCCTTTGAGTCAAAGTCTAGTGCTAGATATAAAGTTTCTATTCAAATAAAAATATGTACTGGAAGGATGAAGACAATAGAGATAAGGCTGTCAACCAATTTCTTCATAAACCTAGAATTTAAATTCTAAAAGGAATTTTTTAGGCCTTAGAGACCAATCCCATTTACAGGTGTGGAACTGATTTCTAGAGACTTAAAGAGATTTCCTAGGATTGTATGTCTAGTCCAGAGGAGATCAAAACTACAATTTTCTCTATAAAGTATTTTCCATGTAGTATCAAACAACTGGCTTAGAGTCAGCTAAAATTCAGTGATTCCAGTTTATCCAGTGTTTTCTTTTTTTATGCCTTGCACATTGTGCATAGGCGGAGAGAGTCTGAAGAACCTATATGCCAGACAAATTTCAGTTCTTTAGCTTTCACAGCACACTTCTGTCTGTAGCTGATGGTCCTGCTGTAGTCAGTTGAGGAAAAGAGAAAAGAATGTAGAGTCCCTTGCTGGCCTCATCCTGGCTTTGTGTTTGGATCTTTGTGAGGGACCAATCCATGGGGAGGCCTAGATTCCCTGCTTCAGAGCCATATTTAGGTTTGTCGAAAATGTGTTTTTGTTTTTGTCTTGTATTTTTGTTGTTGTTGTTTTTGGAGACAGGGTCTCATGTAGCCCTGGCTGGTCTGGAACTCAAGGCGATCCTCCAGTCTCAGCTGGGATTACAGGCATGCACCACCACACCTCGCTGTTGAAAATGTTTTTGGACAACTGTGGGTCCTTTTGCCTCGATTTAAGTTGGAATGAGTGGGAAAATGCATGTATCAAGTAAATATTGGTCTGTACACGTGTGTGGTAGTGATTTTGTTCTTTTCATTGACTGACTTCCTTTTGTTTCTTGTTAATTCCATTAAAGTTTATTCTAGTCATGTGGGATTTAACTTATTAGGAGAGTAAAAATAGATTTTAAGGTGTTTTTGAAGGAGTGGTGTCCAATCTGGAATGACAGGAATGACTCCTGCCTGGCAAGCACAAGGTCTTGAGTTCAGAGTACTGGGGGGAAAAAAAGGAGAAGAGGGATTGAGATTGATTGAGTGCTACCTTAGGTCATCATGGAATTGTGGAGGGGGTCATGTGTCGTTCCCCACCACCACCACCACCACCACCACCACCAAGGATCGAACTCAAGACCTTGTGCTTACCAGACAGGTGTGGCACCACTGAGCTAAATAACCAGTCCAGTGTGTGTGGGTTTTATGGCATTACGGGGGATTGAACCCAAGGCATTCATACTGAGGTACATTCCCAGCACTCTATTTTGGGACAGGTTCTGAATTGCCCAGGCTAGCTAGACTCAAAATTACAATCTGGCTGGGTGGGGTAGTGAGTGTATTCCTATAAACCCAGCACTTGGGAGGCTGAGACCAGAGGATCTCTGCAAGTGTGAGTCCAATCTGGACTACATAGTGAGTTGAGGCTAGCCTGAACTACATATAGTGAGACATTGTCTCACAAAATCACAAAAATTACATTCAGACTCCTCAGCCTCCCCAAAATCCTGGGATTACAGGTATGTGCCGCCATCCCCAGTTTACTTTGGGTCTTCTTAATTGTCCCAGACAGCACAAGGATTTATGTTAACTCTGTAAGACTGATATTTCAATTTCTAAGAGAATTAATTTGGGTTTGATGGACTCCATGGACAGCACATAGTATTTAATTGAATTATGGGTATGTACTGGTGGTAATGATAAGTGGTATATAATCATTGGATTTAAAAATTGGCCATACAGCCGGGCGTGGTGGTGCATGTCTGTAATCCCAGCACTCTGGAGGCTGAGGCAGGAGGATCGCTGTGAGTTTGAGACCAGCCTGGGCTACATAGTGAGCTCCAGGTCAGTCTCAATTACATAGTTGAGGCCCTGTCTCAAAAAAATTTTTTTTGGCCATACAAGGACTGAGTAAATTTTAGCTCAGTGGTGTTGCCACCTGCCACACAAGTGCAAGGTCCTGAGTTTGATCCTGGTGCAAAAAAAAAAAAAAAAAAAAAAAAAAAATTGGCCATACAGGTGCAGTGGTGAGGCCCATAATTCTAATGATTCTGCAGGCTGAGGTGGGAGGATCAAAAATTCCAGGCCAGGCTGGGGCAATTTAATGAGATCTTGTCTCAGACTAAGAAAATAAAAGCTCATTGTCATAGAGCACTCTGGGTTCAATCCCCAGTACTACCAAAAACAAAAAAAGAGAGATCACAAGAAAAAAGTATTATTGTCCTGTCATGTGTCATCAATGTGTCTCCCCACCCCCCACACTTATGCAGAGCAAGTGCTCTGCTGTTGAGCTTCATCCTCAGCTTTACAACTAACTGTTTTAAACTTGTTTGTGGTAAGAATATATGTGTTGCTATATATTTTGCTCTTTGGGAACAGGTTCACTTAAGTATTTGTGACACTAATAATTTAAATTTCTAAGACATTTTGAAGTTAGTTATTACTATAAACTTCCCATCTCAGATGTTTCTATTTCAAAATGGATGTGGTAACACAAGTCTATACTACCTAGCACTATCCAGCACTTCAGTGACTGAGGCAGGAGGATCCCTGAAAGTTCGGGGCCAGCTGGGGCTAAAAAGAAAGACCCTGTCTCAAAAAAAAGTTTCCATTTCAAATGACTCATTTTTAATCTGTGGTGCTGTAGTATTAAATGCTGGCCTGTATACTCATAATTATGATCATCATGTGACTGAAAATCAGATAGGCACAAAAACTTCTCATTCTAGGTGTCGGTCTCTACTAGTGCTTGCTCAAATGATTTTACATGAATTTTCATAGTAAATAATCACAAGAAATACACTTATATTGCAACTATTGTGCAGTTTATACCAAACTGAGCTTGATTTTTTTTTTTATGAGACTGGATAAATTGTGTATACATAATTATGATTGTATCTGAAACAAGTTGAAAGAACAGAACACAAATACAGTGCTATAGTCAGTGAAAAGTTTGGAGTGGAATGAAAGGGTGGGAGGTAGAAGAAAGATAGGCAGGGGGTCAGATTATGCCTCTAGACATTTGGAAGTTCCTTGGGTTTGCTGCCAGCAGTTGCTGCTGCTACTTCTGTTTTTGTCCCCAGTACTGGAAATTGAACCCAGTACACAGTAAAGACACTGAGCTACATCACCAGCCCCTCTTTAAAATTATGAGACACTGGGCTGGGGATTTAGCTCAATGGTGTCACCACCTACCTTGCAAATACAAGGTCCCGAGTACAATCCCTGATACCTAAAAAACAAAACAAAATGAAATTATGAGACACTCTCATTAAATCAGTAAACTGTCCAAGTAGGGCTGAATTTATCCTACCTCAGCCTCCTCTAATGCTGGGATTACAGGTGTGCACCATCACACCCAGCTTTTTGCCAGCAGGAGGGTGGGGAGGGCTGAGATTAGGTCTCCCTATGCCATCCAGGCTGCCCTTGCTTGAACTGGTAATATTGCCTCAGCCTTCCAAGTGCTGGGACTACAGGTGTATGTCACTACAGCTGTCTCATAGGTTTTTTGTTTGGGGTTTTTTTTTTTTTTTTTTTTTTTTTGGAGACAGGGTTTCACTATGTAGTTCAGACTGCTCTGAAACTCACTGTGTAGCCCAGGCTGGCCTTGAACTCCAGCATTCCTCGTGCCTCAGCCTCCCAAGTGCTGGGATTACAGGCGTGTGCCACCATGTCTGGCTTCATAAGTTTTGTTTTGAGATGAGAGGTCATTAGATGTTTTTTAGCAAGAGAATGACTGACTAATTTATTTATTTTTAAGTACAAGCTAGCCATAGTGCCATAGGACTATAATCTCAACCTGGAAGGCTGAGGCAGGAGGATCAAGAGTTCCAGGCTAGCCTGAGCTACATTGGAAATTCAAGGCCAGCCTGGACTACAAAGTGAGTCTGTCTCAAACAAAAAAGGAAATGTAATTTGATAAGGTAAGTCATTCAGATGTTCACTATAGTATGTATAATAAGGATACAGGTGTAAAATTCAAATTTTGCTATGCAGGGAGAGGTACTGGGATTGAAGCCAGAGCCTTTGTACTCAGGTATATCCCCAGCAGTTTTTTTTTTAAATTTTGACACAGGGTCTCACTAAGTCATTAAGTTGCCCAGGCTGAGCTTGAAGTTTTGATTCTCCTGCCTCAGCTTCCATAGTACTATGTTTATGGGTGTCTGCCCCCATGTCAGGATTTGTTTTATTTTATTGAGACAGAGTGCTATGTGCTACAGGTTAGCTTTGAACTCACTGTGTAGTTTGTGATAGCTTTTAACTTCTGATCCTTCTGCTTCCTCAGCCTCTAGAGCTTTGAGATTACAGGCATACCATGATAACTTGGTTTTTTTTTTTTTTTTTTTTTTTTGAGACAGGGTCTCTCATGGTGATTCATCTGTTTCAGCCTCCCAGTGTTGGGATTATAGGCATGTGCCACTACAACTGGCTAAGCCTGCTTTTGCCCCCCCCCCCAGTAGGAATCAAAGTCAGGACCTTACGCTGGTGAGGCAGGTGGCAGCACCACTAAGCTAAATCCCTGGCTGGCTAAGCCTTTTTTCCCCTCTTTAATCCTAGCCCTCTTTGTTTTAGTTTTATTTTGAGACAGAGCTCACTAAATTGCCCAGCCTGGTGTTGACTTTCTAGTCCTCCTACCTCAGCTTTTCAGATGCTGGGATTGTAGGTGTTTGCAACCACATCTGGCTTCTTTTTTTTTTTCCTATCCTTTTTTCTTCTTTTGAGACAGGGTTTTATTAAGTTGTTCTAGCTGGGTTTGAACTTGGGATCTTTCTGCCTCAGCCTCCTCAGTAACTAGGAGTATCGGTGTGCACTAATATGCCCTGCTCATTTATTCTGTTTTTTTGTTTTTTGAGACAGGGTCTCACTATGTAGTGAGACTGACCTGGAACTCACTGTGTAGCCCAGGCTGGTCTTGAACTCACAGTGATCCTCCTGCCTCAGCCTCCCAAGTGCTGGGATTATAGGCATGCGCCACCATACCCGGCTTATTATTATTTTGGTACTAGGGTTTGAATTTGGGGCCTTTTGTGTGCGAGGCAGGCGGTGGCACCAATGAGTTGACTCCCTGGCTTATTTATTTTAAAATTATTATTATTTTATTTTCTGGTACTGGGGATTGAACTCAGGACTTTGTGCTTGTGAGGCAGGCACAGTGCCACTGAGCTAAATCCTCAGCCTTTAATTATTGTTTTTTAAAAGGGCAACATTTAGCCATGCATGGATAATTACAATATTTGAGAGGTAAAATTGATTGTTCAAGTGAAGGATGCCAATGTGATAAACTTCATGGTATGTCAGTTAAAAGTTAAATAGTGGGCCTGGCGTGGTGGCGCACACCTGTAATCCCAGCACTTGGGAGGCTGAGGCAGGAGGATCACTATGAGTTCGATACCAGACTGGGCTACATAGATAGTGAGTTCCAGGTCAGTCTCAAGTAGATAGTGAGACCCTGTCTCAAAAAAAAATTTTTTTTTTAGGAAGATCCTGTCTCCAAAAGAATGGATTGTTGAAGATGTTGCTCAGGGGTAGAGTTATTGCCTAGCAATACATTTTTTTTCCCCCTTTGGTTTTTTTTTTTTTTTTTTTTTTTTTTTTTTTTTTTTTGGTACTAGGGGTGAAATTCAGGACCTTGCAGGCGTGGTGCCACTGAGCTAAATCCCCAGCTTTGTATTCTGTTTGTTTTTTCAGACAGTGTTTCACTGTAGCCCAGGTTCACCTCAAACTTAGCAGTCCTTCTGCCTCAGCTTCCCAAATTCTGGCATTAACAGACATGTACCGCAATGCTGAGCACTATGATGGATCTGCTCAGCCTCCTGAGTGCTGGGATTACACATGTGTGCTACCACGCCTGGCTTGTCTAGCTTTTTTGTTTGTTTATTTGTTTTGAGACAGAGTCTTACTATGTAGAGACTGACCTGGAACTCACTATGTAGCCCAGTCTGGTCTTGAACTCACATGCATCCTCCTGCCTCAGCCTCCCAATTGCTGGGATTACAGGCATGAGCCACCACACCAGACTTGATTAGTATTTTTGAGGCCCTGGTTTCAGTCCTCAGTACTGGGGGGAAAAATACTGTATCTTTTTTTTTTTTTTTTTTTTTTTTTTTTTTGTCAGAACTCTTTGGGGAAGCCTATTTACTCACATCCTGTCCTTTGTTTTTTTCCTCATAAAGGGAACAGATGTAATTTTTTATTTTTCTTATGTTTTTGTAGCCTTTCATCTGAGAAGTTCAAGGTACTTTGTACAAGTTTGCTACACAGGCCCTGTGTTTTGCAGTACATTTGTAAGGTATGTAAATAGAAATCTCTTCTTCCATTTCCCTTTCCCCATGGAAGAGAGATTATGTATATTCTGAGGAAATATGAGTTTATCATAACCACTAATGACTCACTTGTCCACTGCTCTTGCAGGTTTTTAAAATTTTTCTTATTTGTTGCTTTGTTGCTGGACTTTAGTTGTTGTTTTGGTTTTTTGTTACTTTTTTTTTTTTTTTTTTTTTTTTTTTTTTTTTGTACTGAGAATTGAACTCAAGACCTTACACTTGGGCCAGGGATTTAGCTCAGTGGTTCTGCCATCTGCCTGAAGACCTTACACTTGTGAGGCAGGTGGTAGTACCAACTGAGCTAAATGCCCGGTCCATGTTTTTTTTGGGGGGGCGGGCAGTGTTTCATTATGTAGTTCAGGCTTGCCTTCAACCAACTCACTGTGTAACCCAGGGAATAAGCCCGGCCTTATTTACTACCCCTCTTCTCTCTTCTTCTTCTTCTTTTTCTTTTGGTTTTTTGAAACAGGGTCTCTCTATGTAGTTGAGACTGACCTGGAACACACTATGTAGCCCAGTTTGGTCTTGACCTCACAGCTATCCTCCCTGCCTCAGCCTCCCGAGTGCTGGGATTACCGGCATGTGCCACCAGGCCCAGCTCCTTCCCTCCCTCCCTCTCTCTCTTTTTCTTTCTTCCCTTCTTCCTTCCCCTCCTCCCCCTCCTCCCCCTCTTCTTCTTCCTTCTCTTTTCTCTTCCTCTCTTTTGCAATATTGGGGATTGTACCCAGGGCCTTGTATGTGCTAGGCAAGTGCTGCACCGCTGAAATAAAGCTTCAGCACTTTTTGCTTTTTCAGACAGGATCTCACCAAGTTGCCCAGGTTGACCTTGAACTTGTCTCAACTCCCTGGATCACTGATTATAGGCATGCACCATTATAGCTGGGTTAGATTTTCTTTTTCTCCTAGTACTGAGGATTGAATTTAGGGTCTTCACACTGAACTACGTTCCCTAGACTTTTTTTTTTTTTTTTTTTTTTTTTTTTTT